AGGTGGAGGTGGAGGTGGAGGTGGAGGTGGAGGTGGAGGTGGAGGTGGAGGTGGAGGTGGAGGTGGAGGTGGAGGTGGAGGTGGAGGTGGAGGTGGAGGTGGAGGTGGAGGTGGAGGTGGAGGTGGAGGTGGAGGTGGAGGTGGAGGTGGAGGTGGAGGTGGAGGTGGAGGTGGAGGTGGAGGTGGAGGTGGAGGTGGAGGTGGAGGTGGAGGTGGAGGTGGAGGTGGAGGTGGAGGTGGAGGTGGAGGTGGAGGTGGAGGTGGAGGTGGAGGTGGAGGTGGAGGTGGAGGTGGAGGTGGAGGTGGAGGTGGAGGTGGAGGTGGAGGTGGAGGTGGAGGTGGAGGTGGAGGTGGAGGTGGAGGTGGAGGTGGAGGTGGAGGTGGAGGTGGAGGTGGAGGTGGAGGTGGAGGTGGAGGTGGAGGTGGAGGTGGAGGTGGAGGTGGAGGTGGAGGTGGAGGTGGAGGTGGAGGTGGAGGTGGAGGTGGAGGTGGAGGTGGAGGTGGAGGTGGAGGTGGAGGTGGAGGTGGAGGTGGAGGTGGAGGTGGAGGTGGAGGTGGAGGTGGAGGTGGAGGTGGAGGTGGAGGTGGAGGTGGAGGTGGAGGTGGAGGTGGAGGTGGAGGTGGAGGTGGAGGTGGAGGTGGAGGTGGAGGTGGAGGTGGAGGTGGAGGTGGAGGTGGAGGTGGAGGTGGAGGTGGAGGTGGAGGTGGAGGTGGAGGTGGAGGTGGAGGTGGAGGTGGAGGTGGAGGTGGAGGTGGAGGTGGAGGTGGAGGTGGAGGTGGAGGTGGAGGTGGAGGTGGAGGTGGAGGTGGAGGTGGAGGTGGAGGTGGAGGTGGAGGTGGAGGTGGAGGTGGAGGTGGAGGTGGAGGTGGAGGTGGAGGTGGAGGTGGAGGTGGAGGTGGAGGTGGAGGTGGAGGTGGAGGTGGAGGTGGAGGTGGAGGTGGAGGTGGAGGTGGAGGTGGAGGTGGAGGTGGAGGTGGAGGTGGAGGTGGAGGTGGAGGTGGAGGTGGAGGTGGAGGTGGAGGTGGAGGTGGAGGTGGAGGTGGAGGTGGAGGTGGAGGTGGAGGTGGAGGTGGAGGTGGAGGTGGAGGTGGAGGTGGAGGTGGAGGTGGAGGTGGAGGTGGAGGTGGAGGTGGAGGTGGAGGTGGAGGTGGAGGTGGAGGTGGAGGTGGAGGTGGAGGTGGAGGTGGAGGTGGAGGTGGAGGTGGAGGTGGAGGTGGAGGTGGAGGTGGAGGTGGAGGTGGAGGTGGAGGTGGAGGTGGAGGTGGAGGTGGAGGTGGAGGTGGAGGTGGAGGTGGAGGTGGAGGTGGAGGTGGAGGTGGAGGTGGAGGTGGAGGTGGAGGTGGAGGTGGAGGTGGAGGTGGAGGTGGAGGTGGAGGTGGAGGTGGAGGTGGAGGTGGAGGTGGAGGTGGAGGTGGAGGTGGAGGTGGAGGTGGAGGTGGAGGTGGAGGTGGAGGTGGAGGTGGAGGTGGAGGTGGAGGTGGAGGTGGAGGTGGAGGTGGAGGTGGAGGTGGAGGTGGAGGTGGAGGTGGAGGTGGAGGTGGAGGTGGAGGTGGAGGTGGAGGTGGAGGTGGAGGTGGAGGTGGAGGTGGAGGTGGAGGTGGAGGTGGAGGTGGAGGTGGAGGTGGAGGTGGAGGTGGAGGTGGAGGTGGAGGTGGAGGTGGAGGTGGAGGTGGAGGTGGAGGTGGAGGTGGAGGTGGAGGTGGAGGTGGAGGTGGAGGTGGAGGTGGAGGTGGAGGTGGAGGTGGAGGTGGAGGTGGAGGTGGAGGTGGAGGTGGAGGTGGAGGTGGAGGTGGAGGTGGAGGTGGAGGTGGAGGTGGAGGTGGAGGTGGAGGTGGAGGTGGAGGTGGAGGTGGAGGTGGAGGTGGAGGTGGAGGTGGAGGTGGAGGTGGAGGTGGAGGTGGAGGTGGAGGTGGAGGTGGAGGTGGAGGTGGAGGTGGAGGTGGAGGTGGAGGTGGAGGTGGAGGTGGAGGTGGAGGTGGAGGTGGAGGTGGAGGTGGAGGTGGAGGTGGAGGTGGAGGTGGAGGTGGAGGTGGAGGTGGAGGTGGAGGTGGAGGTGGAGGTGGAGGTGGAGGTGGAGGTGGAGGTGGAGGTGGAGGTGGAGGTGGAGGTGGAGGTGGAGGTGGAGGTGGAGGTGGAGGTGGAGGTGGAGGTGGAGGTGGAGGTGGAGGTGGAGGTGGAGGTGGAGGTGGAGGTGGAGGTGGAGGTGGAGGTGGAGGTGGAGGTGGAGGTGGAGGTGGAGGTGGAGGTGGAGGTGGAGGTGGAGGTGGAGGTGGAGGTGGAGGTGGAGGTGGAGGTGGAGGTGGAGGTGGAGGTGGAGGTGGAGGTGGAGGTGGAGGTGGAGGTGGAGGTGGAGGTGGAGGTGGAGGTGGAGGTGGAGGTGGAGGTGGAGGTGGAGGTGGAGGTGGAGGTGGAGGTGGAGGTGGAGGTGGAGGTGGAGGTGGAGGTGGAGGTGGAGGTGGAGGTGGAGGTGGAGGTGGAGGTGGAGGTGGAGGTGGAGGTGGAGGTGGAGGTGGAGGTGGAGGTGGAGGTGGAGGTGGAGGTGGAGGTGGAGGTGGAGGTGGAGGTGGAGGTGGAGGTGGAGGTGGAGGTGGAAGTGGGGGGAAGGAGGGGGGGGGGGTGCGGTTATAAGTGGACAAGGGAAATGGAGAGAGAGACAGGAAGGAGGAAAAGGGTAGAATCGAGGACAGAGTGGGCAGAGAAGGAGAGAGGGGGGGGGGGGAGATAAAGAAGGGTGGGGAAGGAGAAGAGAAGAAAAGCGTGTGTGGGGAAGGGACGAATGAGAGGATAGGTGGGGAAGGAGGGAAGAAGGTAGGAGAGAGAAAAAGGAAGTTGAGGGAATGGAGAGCGAAGCGGACACGGAGACAAGGAAGGGAAAGCGACATGGGTGGGAGGTGGAGGAAAGGGTAAATGGCAAGGGGAATGAAAAGGGAGAAAAACGAGAAAGGACGAGACAGAAAAAAAGAGAAAGATGAAATGAGGGAAGAACAGAATAAGGCAAATGAAAGGAAGGAGATGAAGAAAACTTGGGGAAAGGAGGGAAGGTGACAAGAGAGGAGAGAAAAAGGAAGGATAGACAGATGGAAGAAAGAGAAAGGGAGAAGAGGGAAACAGGGAAAGAAAGAAGGGATAAACAGATGAAAGAGAAAGTTAAGAGGACGAAAAGAAAGGAAAAAGAAGAAGAAAAGAAAGGAAGGGCAGGGATATAAAAAAAGACGCATCAAAAAAAAAGAAAAAGGGAAGAAAAAGAAATGGAGAGAAAATAAAAGAAAATGAGAAGGATTATTGCTTAGGAACTTCATTCTCACTGATAAACCAAATTCACTTTATCAAAAAAACGTAGATCTGATATCAAATTTATATCAATTCAATTTTTGTTTTCACCTTTTATAGAAACCTTAGCTAAAACCTTTGATCTTCCGATATAGATAAATATATTACAAATCCTTTTATTTTATACAAACGGGACACACGCAATTTATTCAGAAATTTATACTATTTACATAATGAGAGAAAAAAATAAAATAAAAACTGATTCTTGCAAAGTGCACAGAACTGTAAATTCATGCAAGACGTGCATTTACAGAATGAAGTTGAACATTTACAAACTATTGAAGACATGCGATAGGCCTACGTTGATAAGGAAACACGTGGATAATCATAATCTTCACTGTAATGACCAGGTGATAATATTAATGCTAATGATGATGACTGGTGTTGATGATGTTGATGATGATAATGATGGAAGTAATAATTATCAGAATAACATTAATTAGTGTAATATAATAATAATAATGATGATGATGATGATGATGATGATATGATAATAATAATAATAATAATATTGATAATAATTAATAATAATAAAAGCTACAGTGATAATAATGATGACGATGATGATGATATTAATAAGAAAAAATCTAATGTAATAATGATGAAAATCATGATCATGATAATAGTGAATGATAAAAAATAAATAATAATAGTAATAGTAATAATAATAATAATAATAATAATAATAATAATAATAACAATTATAATAATGATGATGATAATGATAACAAAATAATCTTAATAATAAAAATAATGATGATAATAATAACAAAAAATAATGATAACAATAATAAAAAAATATCAATAATGATGATAATAGTAGTAATAATAATGACAGTGACAATAATAATAATAATAATAATAATAATAATAATAATAATAATAAAAAGAGAATGACAATAATGATGATGATAATGAAAATAGATAGCATAACAATGATAATCAAAATAATAATCACCATCAAAATAATAATAATAATAATAATAATAATAATAATAATAATAATAATAATAACAACAATAACAATAACAATAATAATGATATCGATAATAACAACAAAAATAACAAAACAACAATAAAAATAAAGATTACAACAACAATAATAATAATAATAATAATGATACCAGATACAAAACAAATAATATCAACACCCTTACAACCTAGCTTCAGACCATGCCAAGAAACACAAAAACAATAACAAGACATAAGGGGAAACAGAAGAAACGACAAACAAACAAAATTGCTTCGAGAGGAGGTCACGTGCCAGACACAACACAAGCCTATACAAATTACTATCCAGGCCTATTAAACTGCCCTCAAAAGGCTTATGAAAATGCATTTCACAGGCCTATAGAAATGGCAACGTTCTGTACAGAAGTGTTATAGGCCTATGCAATATGTTCGCCAATGTCTTGTCAAAATGTTATGTACATAGGCATTATATAGGCCTACTGAATGTCTTTCAAGGCCTATACAAACACATTACACAAGCCTATAAAAGGCCCTTCTAGGGCCTGTAATCATGAAGGGCCTACAGGATGCCATGCCAAGGTCTGTACACAGGCGGTACATAGGCCTATACGAAGGCATGAATATAGGCCTATGCCAATTGCCCTTCAAAGCCTATACAAACATGACAGGCCTCAGCAAATGCCCTTCAAGGCCTACAGAAACAGAGCAAGGCCTATGCCAACTGCACCGGAGGCCTAGACAAAGCGCGTCGAGGAGCACCTGGACTGCAGATGGCGCAGCACTCGTTCTTGAGGCGCTTCTGTCGGTGGGCGGGGCAGGGCGGGGGCGCGCACTGGGTCACGTTGCACTCCGTGTAGCCCGGGGCAACGCAAGTGCAAGAGACACAGGCGCCGCGCTCCCACCAGGCGCCCACGGCGTATACCCCGCGCCCGTCTATGCAGCCCTCGACGCCTGCGGGTGGGAGCGAGTTTGGGGACTGTGCTTGCTGGTGGGCGGGTGTGGGCGAGTGGGTGTGGGTGGGCAGGGAGTTCGAAGGTCAGGTTATATTTGCCGGCAAGTGGGTGTGGGAGCGTGTGGGTAGGACAGGCGAGGGATGGGTGGTGGGAGTTACGTTTGCTAGTGAATGGGCGTGGATGGGCGAGTAGGGTGGGTAGGGTGGTGTGGGCATGGGAATGGGTCATGGAGAGGTAATGTCTGCTGGCGCGTGATTGTGGGTGGGTGGGGGTAGGGGTGGGGGGTGTAGTAGGAGGGTGCGGTTATGCTTAGCAGGATGGAGGATGGGCGTGGAAATGAGTGGTGGGGGTTATATTCGGTAGTGGGCGGGCGGAAAGGTGTGGGGGAGTTGGCGTAGGAGAAGGCGTGGAAATAAAAGAACAAAGGGAAGAACAGAAAAAGAAAAACGAATAAGCTAAAGACCTTTTCGTTAGTTTTCTTGTTCTTCCCTTCGTTGTCTTATTTACAACTGATTCAACAGGAACCCTTAACGTAAAAGTCGTCTATTGGGGTGTGGGGGGAGGGGGCAGGTCAGAGCGAAGGAGTGGGCGGTGGGGAAGCAGCTGGGAGTGGGCGTGGGAAAGGGATGTCGAGGGTAAAGGCGCGTGATCATGGGTGACCAAGAGTGGGCGGGAGTGGGCGTGAGTAGGCGTGGGTGTTTGAGGAAGTCGTAGAGTGTGGTAGAGACTCCTATTTTCAGTCTTAGAAGTTGCTAGAATATGTCTCGCAGTTACCATCAGTCTGGTTGCTTCGGTTTATTTTGGTCTTACTGTTTACGCTGGATTAAATTGGTCCGGCAAGTTGATCTTAACATTTGGTCTCACACTGTATTTACGTTGGTTTACTTCGGTCTAGATGGCTCATTATGGTCCGGGGAATTATTCTGGTTTAACAGTCATTATGTCAAGTTAATCCAGTAAACCTTGGTCTCATTCAATTATTTCTGTCCGTCAGTGGATGATCATTAAATCAAAATAACTTAAAGACTAGCTTAAATTCGACATGCCGGCTTCATAGATTTTAAAATTAACCCTTATGAGTAATATTGGTAAAAGGAACTCTGAACATTACTAATACTATTCTTTTTTAATAAGCCTTAAGCCTACCTTACATAAAAACACAACGTTACGAACACCATTAATGAATGCAGTGAATACAGAATGCACTGTAATCTCCTCATCATCTACGATCTTATATTTGTTTTCCTTAAATAAGAATAAAGTATAATTTACACTGACCATGTAAGAATAATGTCCTCTTTGCAGTAACTTCAAAATGTTTACTTTGCTTTTATAACCGTTTAATACATTTTTTTTCTAGGCATTTGGTGAATTTGCTACCACTTGAGTAATGGCATAATAAAATGTAATTAACTCTATCAAATCAAGGAGATAAATTGAAGTAATTACCAGTGTTAGGGAGAAAATGTCGTTTTAATCAGTATCATAAATCAGATTGGATTATTCTGTCGTAAAAGCGATGAACTTGATCTTAACAAGCTATAACTTTGATCGAGAAAAAACGTTCATTTTGCCTGTGTCTTGCTTGTCCTTCTCGAGATAGTAAATGAGAGAAAAAATAATGTGTTCACTGTGTTACAAATATGCAAGTTTTATGAAAACACACAAAAAAGCGTACACACACACACACACACACACACACACACACACACACACACACACACACACACACACACACACACACACACACACACACATCCCTCGACCGCCACAGCTCCTAAACCACAAAATCCCGTCTCCTTTCCCTTAAGCTCTGACCCTTAAAGCCCTGTTCTTCCCTGGCGCCAAGCAGAGTGATTCACAAGTTTTTAATTACATATGTATGGCTTAAAATCCACAAGGTCTTTATGTGTGATGAAATCTGGAGTGACTCACGCTACCTCACACACCCTTGACGCTTTTGTTTATGTTCACTTTTTATCATTTTTCTCTCTTTCTCTCTTCCTCTCCTTTTCTTTCTTTCTTTTATTTTCTTTCTTTCTTCCTTTCTTTCATTTTCTTTTTATTTCCATTCATCCCTTTTTCTTTCATTCTATTTTTCTTTCTTTCTTTCTTTTTTCATTCTTTCTTTTTTCTCCCTTTTTTTCATTCTTCCCTTAATCTTTCTTTCTTTCTCTCTTTCCTTCTCTAATTTTACTTTTCGTTATAATTTTCCAACCCATCGAGCTAGGACTTACCTAATTCCTAGAAATCATAAAAAAATATATGTAAATAAAACAAAAAATAGAATAAAATAATAAAAATAACGAAAAATACGCAATCTATAATACAATAAACAAAAATAAAACTGCAACGCAAACTATATAAGCCATAAACATACAAAATATAAATGAGATCTGAGTGAAGATGTTCCCTGCCCTTAATTGCACAATCTTCAATCCTGCAAATTGCATAATGGCCGACATGACATTAAAACATTATTGAGGAAAAGGTCACATTAGCGCCTACACACTATTAAAATGGAAAAGACTAAAATCACCGCATTGTCAGTAGTCTTTCTACACAAGTAATCACACCCAACTCATATTCCTAGTTAATTATGCAGTGCTGTTGTTATTCAGAAACATGGTGAACAAAAGATATGGCGAAATATGAACGAAATTAGCTCGATTTGTAATATATGCATTGTGCGTGAGTTGAAAAGCAGCTTTCTAAACAATTAGGTAGTATTATAAATTATAAACTAAATGATAAGCTGTGATCTTTTAGTAACAAATTAGGAAATTATAACTAATAATAGTAATAATGTTATTTTTTCCTTCTACTTACTTAAATGTTTTTTGTAGTAAAATAATGTTTAAAACTAATAGTGACATTAAATCAGTAATAACAATAACAATATCAGTACTACAACTACTAATAGCAATAATAATAATAATAACTGAAAAAATATATAATTGTAATAACATAAATAATAATAATAATAATAATAATAATAATAATAAAATAACTACAGTAAGTGAAAAAGTTATCTTTAGTCATAAAAATGCAAAATCTCTTATTTTGATGAAACATAACAGCAAACACAACGAACTTGAATTTGCAAAAAAATGAAAAAAAAAAAAAAAAAAAAAAAAAACTCAATTCAAACTCAAAAAGAAAATTTAATTCATTCCGTACGTTTTCGGTCAAGGCAGATTTTTTTTTTTAAGGGAAAGTAATTGGTCGGGCAATTTGCCTTCTATTAAGAGCCTCAAAGCAGAGAATAAGAAATGACCAATTCGGAGATTTTAATTGAGAGAAAACTGTGGGTTTGATTTGCCTCTTGTTCGGTTTGGTCCATTATGGCTCCGTTTTTCTTTTTTTTTTGTGTGTCTTTTCCCTCTTTTCATTTACGTGATCAGTAAAATGATGAACGTAATAGCAATAGTTATAATAGTAATGATAATGAGGCTGATAGTAGTAATGCTGGTAAAAATAATGACATAATAACGAGAATAATAATAATAAGGGAAATAATAACAATAATTATCGTCATCAAAATAACATTAATAATAATAATAATAATAATAAATATAATAATAATAATATAATAATGCTAATAATAATAATAAAAAAAATTAATAACAAGAGTAATAATAATAACAATAATAATAACAATAATAAGAATAACAACAACAAAAATAAAAATAATACAATAATGATATTGATAATAATGATAATAATACAATAATAATAGAATTATAATAATAATAATAATAATAATAATAATAATAATAATAATAATAATAACAATAGTGAAAAAATGAAATAATCATAAAAAAATAATGATTATGAAATAATAAAATAGTAATAATCAAAACGTAATAATATAACAACAGCAACAACAGCACCAGCAACAAAAACGCCAATACTTAGCGAGTGCTTTAGCCCTATAAGCCTCAATTTTCCGCCGCGTTTCGTTAATAAGCTTTTCTATATATGTTGGCTAAGAGAATTCATTTTTCTAAAGCCTAATTGTCCTTGCATTTCTTGGTCTCTGCGTTATGCCATATTGAAAGAAAAGCGTCATTTTAGACT